ATCACCTACGTAAACCTGTGAGCAAGTGCTATCCTGTATTGTCACTAATGTATCCGTCCCATCGACATCTTTTTCATCCTCAGTCCTAATTCCATCTAAAAATAATCTGATTGGTCTGTTGTCGTCATAGAAGTAGTCTTGAAGCCACTTCTTCTGTCTGTCTGTGTATCTCTCTATTTGTCTTTCTTTCTGTTCAGGACTCTGATGTGTTCAAGTACCATGTGATTCTCAATGAGTTGCTCTTCCCTGACCACTTGGCTGACGGCACATTGAAAAGCACACTGCTGGGCAGCGAGTACCAGGTCATGTTCCACTTAAACAACAACAACCAGGTAACAATAGCTGGACCACCACAACAGTGTGTGTGTGTTTGTGTGTCACTTCTATACCACACTACTGCTTTTACATTCCTATTAGTTTTTAGATTGATTTTTCTTCCTTACAGGCAGCCACAAGTTGTAAACAAATATATTTTTGGTCAAAGTTACATTTTTTTTTGTCTGGTGGTGAAGTTGAAAGGAATTATATTTTCAAATATATACATAGTGGTGTGTTCACAGAGTCAGATGCAACAGCAAAACATAACACAAGAAACTAGTAAATTCACATTACCCTTTTCACAAAGTCCATATTTGTTTATTATTTGTCTTCTGAGTTTGATTTTGTGACAGCAGGGATTGTCAATAAAATGCTTTTCAGCAGCTGCAGTCAGTTCTTGCTCAATGCTGCAGTACACGGTGATAATACCAAAACATTGACTGAAGATTAAAGCTCCCTAAATGTTGACTGTGATGGATTATCTGAATGCAGCAAGTGTCTGTAAGTTCATTTTCATAGAACTGAGACCAATGCTGCCTGTAAAGAGGGAAATCAGTTACATTTGAAAGAAGCATTTTTGTGAAGTATAAATAATTCATAATTAATGGGGTAAAAAATACACACAGTATTATGTTAAAATGTGTAGATATTTGTCAGGTGGAGTGTAGAGTTTGTTTTGTGATGGTGATTTGTTTCCCCTCCTCTCGTCCTCCAGACAGCTGTGAACGAAGTTCTTCTTAACGGAAGTTTCATTGAGACCCAGTACGGTATCGTCATATTCCTCCCTGAGGTCCTCAAAGTCCACCGCAACAGATGCAGCAAACTGGTCACACTGCAAGTCAACGTAAGGATGAGGGAGTGATGGATGGAAGGGTGGATGAATGAATGGAAAGAAGGAATAATGGACAGATGGATGAATGAATGGAAGGATGGCTCGGTGGAAGGATGGATGGACAGATGATGGGCAGATGTACGGACAGATGGAAGGATAGATGAATGAATAGATGGATAGGAGAATGAATGGAAGGATGGACAAAGGATGCACAAAATGCAAAAGGGCAGGGTGTAGTGGAATATAGATTAGAGGGTGAGGAGATCAATAAACCTGCTCTCAGCCAATCATAACACTGGTCTCATAGCTCTGAAACAGCCAATCACGGCGCAACAAGTGAGAATGTCACAACGTGAACATCACCACACATCTGCAGCCACGAGCAGTTGGTGCTGGTTTTTCTATTTATTAATAGAATGAATCTAAATAAATAATGAAATGCTTGGTGAAGCAGTTTATATGATCGTATCAATCAGATGGTGGTTCAGATTTTATTTTTCTGTATCTCATGTCATAAATTGTCACATTATATCATAATGTTTGCACTATAATGAATTTGCAAGAACAAAACATTGATCAACAGAATTGAAAAATCCCAGTAATTTGATGCCCCCCGCATAAACAGGCAGAAAACCACGTTATAACCTGCCAGCCTGGTGTGTGTGTGTGTGGGGGGGGTTATTTTGTTGCTGCCTTGTGGGATTTACACGTGATTTAATCAAGGTTAACATAGTTAACAACCTAGGGTAACGGCAGATACGTCAACGTTACATTTGTGTCCTGCTGCCTTCAAATGGCTCTAAGGATTTCATTGAACTGAAACAGAAAATGTTCATGCAGTATAAAGTGTCTGTGAACAACAGCTACTGTAAGATTCACATTTCTAATGAAGATTGGCTGTGGAGAAACTTAAATGCAAATACAGCTCTGGTCAGGATGGATAGATGGAAGTATGATTGATAGATGGAAGTATGATTGATAGATGGATGGAGGTATGATGATGGATGGATGGAGGTATGGATGGATGGATGGAGGTATGGATGGATAGATGGAGGTATGGATGGATGGATGGAGGTATGGATGGATGGAGGTATGGATGGATGAATGGAGGTATGAGTGGATGGATGGAAGTATGATTGATAGATGGATGGATGGATGGATAATAGAAGGGTAAATGTTTGTCCCAGTTATTCCAACCTCTCTCTCTCTCTCTCTCTCTCTCTCCAGGGAATGTGTGCAGACTGTCAAGGAACACCTCGATGCTTATTCAGCTACAAACCAGTAAGAAAGCCGCCAGTCTACAGGGGGTGACACAATAACATGAACACGTGTGCAGCATCATCCAGAATGTCACCTCAGAGTTAAACAACCTAATTTAACATTCACACAGTGAGAGTCGAGAGGACCAGACTCATTTAATCACACGTGTTTACTTTTTGAGCAGGTTTAATTGACAAAGTCAGAGTCTGTCTCAGTCATACCTTTTAAGTGTCTGTGTTCTCTTCTCTTTTTTCTACTGTGTTTCCAATGTGTCCTACTGCAGATCAAAACACAGTTTCCAACCAACATGCGACCGAACTGTAAATACAGGAAGCGAGTTGGGTCCAGGAGGAAGTCAGTGCCAGGCTGTGTCATCAAATGTCTTAAGATAACTCAGGTCTGCTGACACTACTACTATTACTTAAATCCTTGTAACCACAATAATTTACATGCAAAATGTGAGCAAATATGAATTCCCAACTTAATGTTTTCTCCTTATGTGCTTTTACATTTACATCATAAAAGGCAGCAGAATTCTCTTAATAGGAAGCAAATAAAATAAAATGTATCACTGGATTCACAGTGAGAAGCAGATGAGCATCATTGTTGGGTATCGCTGGTGCACATTCAGAGTGAATCCACTTTACTGAAATACATCCTTGTTGTGTTTTTATTGGTTAATGCAAACGTGACCTTGATTGTAGTTAATTTCAGCCATATTTGTATTGAATGTGTGCTGTGGAAGCTCTGTGGAGCATTGCCCCTAGAATCTGCCTCCATCTGCTCGTGTGAAGTCTTGCAGAAACATTGTTTGTCCTGCAGATAGTTAAAAGATTGTTGTTTTTTTCTTTTCTTGATATGACCATTAAAAGGTTAATAGGTCTTAAACTGAAGACTAAGTTTCAGTAACGCAGCAGAGCGGTCGTTGGTGTCATTTTCTATCGCTGCTGTTCTCCACCACTTTTTCGGTTATGGTCCTGTGATATTCTTTTTAGAATAAAGGTGTAATAAACATTTACACAACAGACATGTCTAATAATAACAAAAAGCCATCAGTGTAACAAACAGATGAAGTCAGCAATGTTACAGATTCCATGTCTGAAAAGGTACTTTATTAATTAACAATAATACTGATGGTCTGTCCTGCAGGATCACTCGTGTTGCCCCGGTTACTATGGCCACGAGTGCTACAAATGCCCCGGAGACGTTGGCAGCTGGTGCTCCAATCACGGGGAGTGTCAGGACGGTAACCTTGGCAACGGGGAGTGCCGCTGCTACGAGGGTTTCCATGGCACCATGTGCGAGGACTGTGAGCCAGGACGATACGGAGTTAACTGCTCCTCCAGTGAGGAAAACACACACACACACACACACACACACACTAATTCTGACTGAAACACTCATTAATTACTCACGCACATTAAAGACTAAAAGTTTTTGTCTGCCAAAATCTATTTCTTGATTCAGCTGACCAAAGAACAAGAGCAGACTTTGTGAAGCTCATGGGAGCTGGACACTGAAGTCCTCTATATGAAGTCATAGAACATGTAGAAACTTGTTTTGAGTCAAAGAAAATGAATCTGGGTAACATTGTTAAGTGACCGCAGACAATTTACCGTAAAGGTTTGAAACGGATCCGCTGGACTAACAAACTAACTAACTAACAAACCCAAGACACTTAATGCTCCCGAGCAGCTAACAAAGCCACAATACAAACAAAACATAGAAGCTTACAAATTGCAATGCTAAAAAAACAACCTGTGACACTAACATACCTCGCAGTAACAAGCCTGTCAATCAACAATGCTATGATGCTGGCAAAACTGTGACGCTACAATACTTCCAAGACTAACAAACCAATGAAACCCACCAGGCAAACAAATCCAAGCGACTAAGACACGTAGAATAATAACAAACCTGTGAGGCTAATAATTAACGCTAACAAAACTGATGCTAGCAGATGATAGCATTTTTTAGATTTAGATTTTTTAGAAGAGATTAAAGCAACAAGGAAACACGACTGTCACAGCTAACGTGTGTGTGTGTGTGTGTGTGTGTGTTGCAGAGTGTGTGTGTGACCACGGGAAGTGTGAGGATGGTCTGGCAGGAAGTGGCAGGTGTGTCTGTTATAAAGGTTGGAAAGGATCTTCCTGCTCTCTAGGTAAGAAAGACAGACAGACACAGTGAAATTTTAACCACACTGATTATTTTCTCTGTTATCACCTGAAATCTTTGTGTGTGTGTTTGTGCCTCAGAGATCAAAGACGACGCCTGTGGAGGTGTGTGTGACGAGAACGCCAAGTAAGTCCTCCTGTTGTTGTGTCCACAGACGGGTTGTGTGTGTGTGATTTTGAGAAGCTGTACATTTACCCAGAATACACGGGGGAGAACAAAGAACAACCTGGCTGTCAGATGTCATTTACTGTTCACCATAGCACGCTCACTATTTTGGCTACATGGAACGCGCAATGTACGCCATTAGGGAGAGAGACAGACATTGACAGCTTGTGTGAATGAGCGTGTGAATATCGACAGAAGTGTCAACGTGATAAAAAACTTTCTTTGATCATGAAGCCTGATGTTCCTCTTCTATCCTGCTCTGCAAACAAACAGACAGACAGACAGACAGACAGACAGACAGACATTATATAAGCTTGTGTCACTGTGCTGCATTATTATAAAATCTGATGTACTTGTCATCTCTCCCCGGGACCAGGCTCACCACCAACTGTGACAGACTTCCAGTGTCCTCTGTCTGTCTGTGTGTGTGTGGCCTTGTCTGCTTTTGGTGTGGTAGGTTGTGTGTGTGGGGTGTATTGTGTGTGTGTTGTAAAACAGTCAAAATAACACTGTGTATAAACTACAGTGTGTGTGTTCATGGTAATGAAGGAACATGTCACCCAATGCAACAGTTTGACTCACCAATGTATGTTTAATGGAGCTCAGTGACACAGAGGAATAAGATATATACAATGTAATATAAGCTATACACAGACAATACTCGTTAGTACGATCAATTCATTGTTGGTTTTGGTGCGCACATGGGATTTTCTTGATGATAAGAAAAATAAAGAATATTTCCAGACTTTAAACGTGACAAAATGGCTTCTCCCTAACCGCCGCTCTCAGCTTCAGTGGAAATGTGCGATCAAGTTATTGAACAGTTTTTCCTCTGCTGCAGCTGTATAACAGGACCAAAGGGTTCAGCTGCTGCCTGTGTGTGTGCGGCTGGATACGAAGGCAATGGAACTTACTGCAAAGGTAAAAACACACACACACAGACACACACACACACACACACACACACACACACACACACACAGAGAGACACACACACACACACACACACACACACACAGAGACACACATTCACACACCCCCTGTACATATATCAAATCTTATTACCTTTTTTCTCTCTTTGTCTCTCAGAGCTGGATTTGTGCAGCAGGTTTAATGGTGGATGTTCAGAGAAAGCCATCTGCACGAAGGTCTCGGCAGGAGTGAGGACCTGTACCTGTAAAGAGGGGTACACTGGAGATGGGGTCGTCTGCCTAGGTATGTAGTCCTGTCCTCTAACCCCATAACTACTGTTACCTCACACTGTGCCTTCACCTCCGTTTTCCTAAAATCAACAGTTAAAATCTTATATTTACTGACGTTGAGCGTTAGGTGGTTTTACTGTGCACCACTCCTAATTTTTTATAATCTACCCAATAATGGTGGTGTCATCTGCAAACTTCGCAACAGAGTAATACAATAGAGTTGTCTCTATGACGGGGGATGCAGTCATGGGTGTACGGCGTGAACAGGAGTGGGCTGAGCACACAGCCCTGAGGGACTCTGGTGTTCAGCAGTATAGTGGAGGAGGTGTAAACAAAAAATCCCAGCTGTCTGGTGTTCAATATACAGCTGCAAAGTGTGGTACTCAGACCCAGAGTGCTGAGCTTGCCAATCAGTTTCACAGGGGAAATTGTGTTGAATGCTGAGCTGAAATCAACAAACAGCATTCTGATGTAGCTGTTGTTACTTTCAAGGTGTGTGAAAGTCTGTTAGTTGTGAATGCAAACTGGTGGGGTTCCAGGCCGGCAAGGATTTTTTTCTTTATGGGCAGGAAAACCAAACTCTCAAAGCACTTAAACAATCAGAATCAGGCTGAGTGAGTGATTGCATCTGTGAACATTTGCCAGTCTGTAGAGCTGCCGTAGCTTCATCTGTACTTTAATTTAACTGTTGGAAGGAAAAGCAAAACATATAACAGAGTAATGCAAAATAATTTCAGGGGCTTCGTAGCTAAATACGTTACGTTAAAGGTCCTCCTAATGTTATACATTAGGAGGATCTATTGGCAAAAATTTAATATTATATGTACTAGATCAGATAAACCAAACACTTGCTGTAGATTTCACAGCCTGTTCTCATTCCCAGGTTGTCAAATACAACGCCAGTGGTGTTCAGTTACTTGCAATCAGCAGCTTCACCGCTAGATGCCACTAAATCCTACATATTGGTCCTTTAACTTAAAAGATATAAAAAATGTAAGGTTAACAACACAATTCTGTTGATCTTTGTCTTCTCCAGAGTCAGATGTAAACATATCAGTTTCACTTTTGTTTCAGTACAGAGATAGGTCCAGGATGTGTTTAGCTTAGCTTAGCACAAAGAAGGGGGAAACAACATCCAATATCTCTAATGCTGTCTGATTTACATTTATATGTCTTAAAAAAATATTTCCAATCTATTGTGTGTCCACAGAGATTGATGGTTGTCTGGTCAACAATGGAGGCTGCCACAAGTCAGCAGATTGCATCAGAACAGGCGCCAACACTGTAAGACAACACTGTACTGCAGTAAAATGTCAGATTATCACGGTGCATAATGTGAGAGGTGACCCAACACTGAACCATCACCGTATTTAAGACTCAGTTTAAGTCTGGTGAGGCCACGTCAGATCAAAGTTCCAGGAGGGTCTCATTTAAGTGAGGACCAAATAACATCTGGGGGGTTCTTTAAAGTGAACTTCAGGTTTTTACAATCTTGGTATTAGTTTTATAATTCTGGCCACCATTTCTGTTGGTTATGAAGCTTGGTGTTTAAGTGTGTGTGGGGGAACACTGAGCTTGTCCAAGACAATTATGTAAGCTGCCCACTGGGGGGGTTTGTGGCAGTAAAGTTAACTTTGTCTGCGATGGCTCACTGTAATATCTTTACAGTTTACAAAATAAGGATCTGCTGCACAGTAGCATGAAAATCACTGCTGGTTAACATGATTGTATTAACGGACCGTGATTAAATTGCTACTTCATACCTGTTCAGTTGTCTGATAACAGATACAACAAAATATGTAAATGAGAACAACTATAGTGAATTCAGCTGTACTAAAACACAGTATAGGTGACTACAGAGAGCAGAAGGAGACTGAATGGACGTTAAACGGGTTTTTACTTGGCAGAGTAACTGGCTGTGGGTGTAGCTGCACAGTTACAGTCGACTGCGCGTCAGGGAAGTTAAGAGGACAACTTTCTGCCATCTCTAACTTTTCCTGTGGTCACGCATTTTAAATGTCTATATAGCCAATTGTAGAGCAGTTGTTGTCATTAACCTGTAGTTAGGTTTTATTTATGTTGGACGACTTACCTGTTCACAGTCTTGGGACGAAGAAGAAAAGATTTAGAAAGTTATCTGAGGTTCAGGTGTTTTGCTGTGAGCAAATGTTTAATGTCCAGACAGCTTCATGTAGACATACTCTTAATCAGCGAGACCAGCAGGGTTGCAGCAACATCCAACAGGGCAATGACATAGGTTCTTTAACAGTAAAACAAATAACCAGTTTTTCCCCAATTTAGCTAAACCACATTGTTTGCAGGGCAGGCCAACCGGGGAATGTGCACAACCTACTTGAGGGGCCCTGTGTCAGATCTAGTGTTAGTTGTGTCTGTGGTGAATGCTGCATCCTCAGATTACTTGTTCTGTTTGACCTGCAGGTTGTAAAAAAAAAAATCAATCTTTTAATGCTTTCCTCCCAGAAACAACAGTACCATGTTTGCAAATCAAAGAAGTGATTTGATGCTGATTCACTGCTGAAAAACCGAAGTTGGGGAGAAATTATTTGATTTGTTGATTGGCAGAGCACAGGGGAGGGAGGAAGCTGATGGATAAAGTGATTCATTGTTTTACTTACTGACTGTTTTCTGTGTCTGCTCTGTTGTTGTCTCCAGACGGCCTGCAGGTGTCGACTGGGCTTTCAAGGATCAGGGCGGTTCTGTTACCCTGCCAACCCCTGCAGACAAGTATGTGTGTCATTTTGTGCAGTCGTCTGCTTTATTCTCTCCTGCTACAAGAAACTGACACTTGTTTACTAAAAGATACTGACATGTTTGCAACTGGAACTATTTCATGTTGTTGTCTTAACAAGTCATTCTCCCAAAATCTGTCAGAACTGACTGTTGGCCTAGGATATTAATAAATAGATCCCCAAATGATAAAAAATAAATAAAACCAACCCAATGATAAATGCAGATTGCGGAGACAGAAGGTATCCCACATTTTGTCTGTGAATTATGTTTCTGTGCCAGCTCAGACCAACTGTAAAGCACAGGGACCAATTTTCATGGGCTGTTGGTAAAGGCGCTTCCTCAGGCTTCTCCATACAACACAAGAATAACAAAAAATGTTATGTTGGGGTTTCTCCTTTCTCTTCAATCAGTTAAGTACCTGTAGTCATCCTACAGCAGCAGGTATGTACGTTACATCTTTTGTCTAATTCTGGGGATACAAAACACATAGTTTTTTACGCACAGATCACACAGCAGGGTGTTCTTTTCTTTTTACTTCAAGCTAATCTATTAACCTCAAATCTATTAATTTCCTCTGAATAATCTAAATAAATGATCTGGTGGCAGAAGGATTATTTCAGATAAATATCTTTAGGACATAAGACAAACATTCTCTCGGTTAAGAAGGTTATTTAGATGTGTATAATTAAAATAATCTGTCTGTCGCCAAAAAATGATGGATGACAAAGGTTTACAAGAGGTTATATTTGATTATATATAGCCAATTGATGTGGCTACGACTATATATGAGGAAACAAACCATGTTTAGACTTGGTGTTTCCTTGGTTGTGCACTGGCTGGTCCAGCCTCTTGTCACACGACCCAAACCAATATCCGAGGAGAAAGCACCCTAAAAGAAAAATTAGTATATTTCTCTCTTCTCCCTCCAATACAAATCATTTATGAAACTAGATCAACGGGCAGACTGGGTGTTCCAACCTTGGAGACTAACCGTTCTTCCCCCACACTCAGGTGTTTGTAGCTATTGTAGCTCGCAATCAGAGATGAGAATATGTATCTGTGTTTTTTTATCTTTGTGTGTAATAGCTTTATAAAATGCAGGCTTTCACATCTATGTGTATTAAAATATATTGAAATGACTAATCCGTAACACAGCTCTCTGTTTTTGTAGCCTTCTATCTCCAGCCAAACTGTTGGCATATTTGGCACATATAAATTGCAACCAATTTTCTTAATTAGTAGAATATATATATATATATATAGACTGTAAAAACTACAAGATATTGTCCAAACTGTCCAGAGATAATTGTTTTCAAAGATTTGAGAAAGAAAAGGTTTGTGCACAACATACTTTATGCACTGACAGGAGTTTCAGATTTTCCTAAGAGAAGCTCTTCTGCTCTTTTCTCAGCTCATTAAACTTTCTTCTTCTGCTTTTAAAGGCTTAACGAGGAGATTAAGAGCTGAAGCTCACTTCACCTGCTGTTATATTTTATATGATATTTTTGGTTTGCCTTGGGCATAAGTGAGGCTAGAGCTGGCACTGTGCAAAGATGTTTGATGCAGCGTACAGTGTATTGATGATTTTATCAAAAATAAAAATGGTTGCATGACTGTTAATGTCTGTCCATCAGGAATTAAAGATACATTTTGTGTATGTGTTTGTGTGTATGTGTGCAGAACAATGGCGGCTGCAGCAGCAATGCTCGTTGTGAATATTTGGGCTTTGGTCAAATGAACTGCACCTGCCACAGAGGCTATGTGGGCAATGGCATGGAGTGCCGGGGAAGCTCCAACTATGTGAGTCACATGACCTTTGACTTCTCACTGACCTCTGACCTTCCTTGCCACACCCCTCCCTCCTCACAGGAAGTTGTGGTGTCTGTCTGTCTTACAGGAGGTGCACCGAAATCCAGATAACGCCTTCTACCGTCGAATGTTAATGGTGAGTCATATTGAAATCCACAGCAAATGAAACGTAACCTCCAGTTATTAATTTGTTTTCAGTTTCAGTTCCAGCAGACACTTACTCAATCAATTCATTTCAGTGGAAACGCAACAGGAATGTGAAAAAGTGACTTTGCGTTCCTAGTTTAGTTCCTGACATTTGTTTCTCTGGTTCCATAGTTTTCATAAAGTTTTGGTCTGACAGGGGCTTAATTTGAACTTGCTTCATGATACAGGCCCCTGATCCATTGTCACATAAGTTCACTCTGTTTTGTTTATGTTTCTCAGATGGCAGACAATCGTGCTCTTTACGGTGACGGACCGCTCACTGTCTTCGTCCCTCTGGAAAACACCAATAACTATTCCTCTGTGTGTACAACATCTGCTGTTTGTATATTATCTAATGTAACAATAACAAAATTACCAATCTAACCTTTGTCTTAACAAGAAAAACCAGGCACTCATTTCTAAGCCTGAATCACAATATTAATCATATAATAAGTACATTTTTATCTGTGAGTGTGAAATATGGTTGCTGGTGCAAGATATGTAGCCTTTAGTACATCATTGACTTGACTGTGTGTGTGTGTCTGTGTTTGTGTGTAGTTAGAGGAATGGAGCCAGTTTGGTCGTCTTAGTGACCTGGCTCGTTACCATGTTGTTTCCTGTGAGACTTTGACCCTGAGTGACCTCAAAACCACCAAGCTTGCTGTCTCAACATCGGGATACTCACTGCACTTCAGCCTACAGGAGGTAACACACACGTGCACACATACACGCCATAAGGTTGCAAGGTTGACTGACCTCGTAAGGCAGCTTGACTTATGAGATAACACTAGACTCCATCTTGCCAGACCAGGTGTCCAACCACAATGGTTTGGTCCAATCAGCGTCCTTTGAGGAACTACTGGCAGCTACGCCATGAGCTACAGGCGTGTTTTAATACTATGTGTGTGTGACTGTTTGCTCAAAAACAACAGTGGTGGCTACTAAAGAAGTCAGTGTAGATGCTGCTTGCATAAGTTATATCAGGGCTGGAGAGTATCAATACAAAGAACAATACTGAGGGGTTTTCTTGATGAAAAAGATGTTTTCTCTCTTGTCCCAACTGACTTCTGTAAGAGTCTGACAACGTTGTATGGTTTGTTGATCCGATTGGTTGAAGTTCACCCATGATAGACAGATAGATAGACAGATGGTTCATCCAATCACCTGCTGAGTATATTTGGAAAGTGCCAAAGTTTCCAACGACAACTTCCCAGATTGTTCTGTGTAACAAACCATCTGTAGCAGGTTAATATTGGACAATATAGGTTTATAGATAACGTTTTACTTTGGGAATGTCTGTTGTTTTTCTTTCCTATTCTTATTTGATGGTGAATTTTGTATTTGATTATTCTCCTGCTTGATTTTATTACTGTAAATTATTATTATTATTATTATTATTAATAAACATTTTAGAGGAGGTGAGTGTGTTGGTGTAAGTATATCTTTAGTAGCTCCTCATTGAACAGGTTGCCATGGAGCTGTTAGCAGACAGTCTGACCTCTGTTAACATCTGTGCTGTTTTATAACTCAAAATGACATATAATGACTCACGTCTGTCAACAGACAACTGTCGAGAAAGTTAAGCTGAAAATCCCTCTCCTCCTTTCCGGTCACCTCCTCTTTGTTTCTACCTGTCTGCCTCACCTATCCACACCTATCTCTCTCTCCCTTCAGGGTTCAGTCTGGATCAATAACAGATCAAGAATTGTGAAGAGTGATTACACCACATCTAACGGCGTCATTCACCACATCGACAAGATGTTGATACCCTACAATCTGCAGGACAAACAAAGCATCCAGCCGACCAGGGTGTGCTGAGTTTGATGGAAATGAATAAATGTTTGATGATCAATCAGATTTGACATACAGACAGTGTGACCTCTCTCTCTCTCTCTCTCTCTCTCTCTCTCTCTCTCTCCAGATGAATTTAAGCTCTGCAGCTGTGCTTTATGGCTACACCCGCTTCTACAAACTCATTGAGGTAAAAACAGAGTATCATTAACCTGATTGTGTATATCAGACTATCAAGAACATGCTGCACCTCCTGGTTTTATTTCACCTTCTTCCACATCTTCTCCTCCTCCTTCTTTTACCTCTTCACCACACCATCTACACATCCTCTTCTTGTACCTACTACTCTTCCTCCTTCACCTCCCTCTATTCCTCGGCTCTACTTTGTTGCTGATAGAAAACTGGTGAACCTTCTGGCCATTTTCCTGGGCTGCACTGATTTTTTATTTTCTCACCTGCACTCGTTTGGTTTCTCTGTGACACCCCAGTGGGAGGAGAGGCACAGTACACTTGCAATTAATGGACATATCGATCTGTAATAAATGTGAAACTGTAGAACAGAATTAAAGGGGCAAAGCTTTGTAATGTTTTATGGACCAATGTCAGTATGTTAATGTTGAGATATGGCTGACATTGAGACGTACTACTGTGTGCAGAGGTAACTATTATATATTTATTATCCTCTTCATGCTGAGTTGGACATGTATGACAAATAGCAAGCTGTCCAGTAGCTGTCAAGACATTTCAGTCTGGACCTAAAGTCCTGTTGTGAATGTGACAATAATGTTTTGAGTTAGACCAACGTTTTTTGCGTTTTTTCCATTCACTTTAATATTAAATAAATAGATCAGAGGTCTATTTGATATCAGACTTGGTATCAGCAATATTAAAGGAGTGGGATTGGGACAAAGAATACGTACTATTATTATAACTTATAGTGCCAGTGCGACTACTGGTCGTAATCTGTACTCTTTGTGCAGGATTCAGGGGTACTCCCAATGCTCAAGATGTCCATCCACCAGCCGTTCACCATGTTCTGGCCCACAGACGAGGCCCTCAACTCCCTGCCTGCTGAAAGACAGCGGTGGCTCTCCAGCCCAGACCACCAAGACCTACTGGCTGCCATTGTGAAGGCTCATATCATACGCAACTCCAAGGTATGACGAGGAAGAGGAGGAAAAAGTAGTAGAGTAGCATGCGATATTCTAGAGTAAAAGCCATCATATACAAATAAACCTTTAAACATATATGCATCAAAACCAATCCATTATTGACAATGTCAATAAAAAAGATTTATTAACCACCGGGGGGGGGTATCATCCACTGTGAGAGATGACAAGCCTGTTCTGCAGATTTTGAAGGTCTGTGAGACACACACCTCTATGTCTGCTGCTGGTTGTCAGGTTGTCCCCACTGCACTAGTTGAATTGCCATTAAACGACAAATTGTTTAAGCTATATGTCTGTGATCAGTGTTTTAAACGGCCGTTTGTCAGGATTGTCTGGAGGTCCGAGAGAGTGTAATTCAGAGTCATAAGTTATTTTTTATAGCAACTAGAATGCTGTTTTAGTATTTCAAAACTCTAAAATCCCAAACTGTAGAGCTGTCCTTGAAAAGGAGGAGGTCTGACCGTCTGTCATAGAGCTATAAACAGATTGAGTGTGTGTGTGTGTGTGTGTGTAGGTCACGAGTGTCAGTCAGCCGGATAAATACTCGTTCTTCCGCACCATGCACGGATCCACCATCAAGTACAGCTGTGACAAGTCCATGGTGGTAAGACAACACACACACAGACACACCCTCTTACAATCAAACAGGTAGTCATGTTACCATGGTGATGTTGGAGAGATATTGACACCAACAACATCCTGGATCCTAAAGGGCAGTCTGCACCAAGAATGATAACTATGACAATAACTGGTGAATGATGGCGTTCACAACACAACTGTACTGACAACAACAGTGGGGAAGAATATCACTGAACATTGATGAACAATATTGTGTTATACAACTTATTAAATGCTTATATAAACATAAGGATGTCACAGCAGGGGAGCATGTACACCTATAAATATGGGTGCAGCTGTACAGGCGTTATACTCAGAAAGCTTGTGTACACAGTTCAGATGTCATTAACCCTCTCTAACAGTCAGCAGTGGAGAGCTGTTGTGCACCAAGTGCACCAAAAGCCCTGCAAACAAAAAGCAAATAAGAGTAATTTATTAATGTAATCTGCGCAAAAGATGTACAGATGAAGAAAATAAACATTCAGCAGAATACAGTTCATTCAGGTAACTTGGGTTACTGCACCGAAACAATCTTAATCTTAATGCAATGCAGAGATATTCACCTGTATTATTTAGGAAAATCAGGACTTGGTATCAGCAGATACTCAATATCAAATGGGGATCAGAGGCAAAAAAATGTTGATCGGGATACCCTTATTTTCCACCGTAGTATCGAATTAGTATCGTGGAATTTCACTGGTATTGGCATTGATTACTACATTTCTAGTATCGCTCATCCCTAGTATTAAATAATGTAAGGCTGCAGATTACCTGATAAAGGGTAAATGGTAGAATTATGATAGAATTATGCGTCACACATGTCTGCATCTTCACAACTAGAAACAAGGAAGTGAGTTGGTGATGTATGACTCATTGTTTTGCACAGGAAATTACAATGATTAATATTTGCTTGTGTGTGTGTGTGTTCAGGGGGCTGTTTTAATTAATGATAATGCAGCCAGGTTAGTGGAGCGCTACATGGCCTTCAAAGAGGGCATGGCCTATGGCATCGACCAGTTACTGGAGCCACCTGGCCTGGGAGCGCACTGCGACGACATGGAGAACAGAACTTCTAACGTAAGTAGTGCTAATACTGTTGCTTTTAATACTGCTACTGCTTTAATACTCACAATACAACGTGTACTAGTTGTAATGAAATTATTACTAATGACTAGAAGGATGAATTTTGCCACTTTCTGATGTCTTAATACTACAGCTACTACCATAACTTTTGTCAGTATGACTCCAGTACTGCAAATATTGATACTGTATTGGAAGCTGGACTGAAGCTTTATGTCTTAAACTGTCTCAGGGGCCCTGTGGACACTGCCTCAGGCCTCCTTCCTGCCCCTATAGACACATTGACACAGTAAGATTTGCCTGTCTGCTAAAAAATCTGAACATTAACAGCTTGTACAATACATAAGCTATGTAAAGATAAATGTCAACCCTCCTTTCTTCCAGGGAAAGGTGGACATCTGTTTGAACTTTGGCCCTAGGTTTCGGGGCGGATACCCATATTGGTTGGGTGACCTAGACCATCCTTTTACTCGGACTAACTGTCGGAGAGTTTGTGTGTTTACCTCCTGGGTTCAAAAGTGCTGCAAGAACCACTACGGCCGAGACTGTCAAGGTAAGGAAGGAAGGATGGCACATAAGGAAGCTGCTCCTGAAGTCAGACATTCATCTCATCCAGCCTAAGATGTCTGGAGAAAATCTCCTATAAGATCTAGTGTTCATTTCTAGAGTCTTACCATTTGTGGAGCTACGTCATTGGGCCATTCGATTCTTGGTTTCATCCTCTAGAAGGCAGGAATGGGAACAAGACATTTAATGGCAATCTACTCATTAGATTTAGATATTTATTGTGTGTATGAGGGAATTTCGGCTGCATGTTGCTGCTATATGAAAGTTTAAGGGGTCACCAAAACCAACCAAAATCATCCTCTGCGGCTGATTTTATAGAAATCTGGCCAGCATTAATTCTGCTCTGGACCAAACTGCTGTTGCTACTGTGTTATTACCTGAACTTTACAAATCCTTACCTGAGGCAGTTGTGTGATTGGGTGTGAGTGTGACCATGTTACCTGTAGATGCTGCGGGTCCGCCATGTTGAATGTTGTTTCTATAGTAATCCAGAACGGACAAACCAAACCCTGGCTTTAGATGTTAGGACCTTTCGTGAGTTTTGTGGCCACCGTTGTTTCTCCTACACACTTCATAGCCTGTTCTCATTCCCAGGTTGTCTAATTCAGACGCCAGCAGTGTTCAGTTAGTTGCAGTCTGCAACTTCACTGCTAGATGCCACTGAATCTTACACACTGGTCCTTTAAACTTTTTTACATTTTGACCTGTTGTAGTAGAAGTCCAGGTGACACAGAAGTGTCTTGATAATGCAGACTCTTTGTTTGACAGATCAAAATATCAGCCATGATAAAGAGCAGTTGGTTTGACAGTGCACAGTGTCTCTTATGTTACCAGGAAGAGCCCTCCGTGTCCTCACTGTGTTTTTTTTACCCTTTCTCTGTGCGTTTCAGTCTGTCCAGGTGGCGTGGAGGCCCCTTGCAACAACCATGGTAAGTGTGACGATGGCTTGCGTCGTTCAGGAAGATGCAGTTGCAACAAAGGCTTCACTGGAAAAGCCTGCGAACTGTGTGTCACCGGCTACTACGGCTCCAACTGCACAGGTAGACCGAAAACAGAAAACACATTCTCTCTATTGTCTCAGACTTGTTATTTGCAGGACCACAACAGACATGAGAGCTTTTCTTTATATTAAATTAAAAACATTCAGCTCTCCCACAGTCTGTCGCCATAGCAGCGCTCCACACTCGCCATCACACAGCTGGGTGTGCTCCCAGCTTAGGACAAAGCAGAGAATCATACGTAGCAAAATCAAAACTCTTCATTGTTTTGTTTGTTGTTTTTACTTTATTTTTTTATTATTTTTGACAAAAACAAATAAACAAACAAACAACAGACAAGGTCGCTATAGGTAAGATATGTTTATGTGTAGGAAATGAAAAAGAGGCTGGGTTACATTAAGTGTAGAAGTCTGTGGGACCATGATTGTCCTTTAGCTCTTTTAAAGGAGTAAAAAGTTATTTTACTCATTCATAACATAGTTCATTTTGTTGGCCATATTAGGGAAAGAAATAGAACAAAGTTTTCCAAACAAAATATAAAGTAACACAATCACTTGGGATTCAAATAAGATTTCCAGTATTTCTAGTATTTTTCACATTGTTTAGTGGCGTGTCTCAAGGAAGAAGTCAACTGTTGCATAACTGAAATATCCAATCAATATTTCTATTCATTCAAGAACTGCCGGAGACTCTTTGCTAAGATATTTCCTGGTTATTGCTTTTTCTGCTACCTGAAACTCTTCATTGTAGCTGATATTTCATCAGGTTGTTACAAAATGTGACCTTAGTTTCAGCTCACAAGCTCTGTGATTGGAAGTTTGTTGTAAAAGTGCATCTTGGGAGTTGTAGTTAACTTCCCTTCTTCATGTCCACAGGCTTGTTCCATTTCCACTTTTAAAGACATTTGTTATGTACTGAGGATACAATCATACACAACCCTCAAAGACCTCCAACTATCAGCCTGACATTGTCTATGGAGAACCAGACTTTAGGATGCCTGAAATAACGTTTCTGTCCTCACAACTCTATTGTTTTTTGCAGGGAGGTTGAGTTATATTATTTGTCTTTCTCAGCCTGCAGCTGTGGGAACCAGGGACGGTGTGATGAGGGCATTGAAGGTTCTGGACAGTGTGTCTGTAACCCCGGCTGGAAAGGTGATCAATGTGAGATCGAAATAGGTGAGTTTCCCTCCTGAATGTGAGAACTTGAACAAAATTAATGTCGTAGGAAGTTAAAAGGATCAGTCGGGTGATATTCTGTATTTTAATGTATAGCAAATCCATGAAAAGACTAAAACCAACAAAGTCTAGCCTGTCTCTCAGTACTTTGTGACTTCCCTACCCTGTCTGTGCCTCTCGGCTCCAAACTCATTGCTCCCTACTGAATACATAAAAAGTATTGGTTTTAGTCTTTTATGGGATTTGCTGATATTAACAAGAATAGGATATCACCAGCCTTACCATTTAATGTTTTACCTCTTTGTAAGAAGCACTGGTGAAAACAAATTGATGTCAATGCTTCACATAACAGACATTTTAAGTACATGCACAATTATCTCCATTGCTTCATTGATAGCCTAACTGAAGTTCTTCTACTTTCTTTACTTTCCCTTAAACTGACAGGTCAACTGCTCTGACCTCTTAAGCCCTGGACACAGCGTCAACGCGTGCCGCTTTACTAGAGAGTCGTTGTCTCGCTGTTGTCAGTAAAAAATAGACAGTAAAAAATGATCTGTTCATATCACAATACACCTTTTACTACAGTTTCAACGTCTATATCTGTAGAATATGTCATACAGATAAATATACATTCTCTTCTTTTACCTCAACACCTCCTGCATCTGTAATCTGTGGACAGAATCCATTTATATGTTAACAATGCTTTTATTGTACTGTATTTATCAAAGGGAAACTCAGTGTAGAAAGAGAGGGCTGGCAGCAGTAGAAACGCTCTCTGTGTGGACCCCACAGGCGTGCGAGCTGCAGCAGCTCAGCGAGGCAGCCGTCACGCACTGCTCACCGCGTGACATGTGTCCAGGCCGCTACTCTTCCACTGAAAAGTTCAACTGCTTTCATCTCTTGCTCTTCAAGTGACAGTGCTTCCTAGCGCTTTTACTTAGTGCTGAAATTTCAGCTCATTAGTGATTAACGTTTAACTGACTTATCAACTGCTTTCATTTCCAACTCTTCAAAAGAGACTTCAAACCCTTTCAGGGCTTCAGTTGACACTTGAACTCCTTCAGTACTTCAACTGCAACTCTCATGCAACATCTCTCAAAAAAGTCCCAACATATCAAAATATGAGGTCGTTTGTGAAGTTTCACGTGTTTCCAATGCAATTAAATAGTTTTTTTGATATTCTATACTGTTTCCACTAAACTGTGAAATTCTTGGTATGTGCGTCTCACATACAGGTGGTTTCACAGCAACATGATACATTTTAAAAGCTCAGTTTATACAAAGTGCTTACACTACCAGACAGGTTTTAGGTATCATCCAGTGGCTTGTATCTCTGTATTTTGATCAAAGTGTAAATGCAGATTAAACATTTGCTAACATTTTCTCTTTTTAAAATTAGTTTAGAGGATTGTGCAGCCTTCTTTGGAGATTTCCGCTCTCTGCTTTCTAGTTAACTTATTTTACAGTTTAAAGCCCTGTTTAACTTCCTTATTCGATGAATTATCCATCCGTCTGTCTGTCCAGGCTCAATCCCAGAGGAGTGCCGGCAGTGCCACGCTCAGGCCGACTGTGTGCCCGGTGTTGGTTGTCAGTGTAAATCTGGGTTTCAGGGGAACGGCACCTTCTGCTTTCCAGAACCACGTGAGTGACGATGAATGAATGATGATAGTGATTCTTTGAGGAGGTAAAGTAGCCATATAAAAACTTTATAGTCCTATATCTCATCGTCTTACATTAAAGAAAGTTATTTAAATTTAAAAATCAAAAAATATTTTAAAGAAAAGTACACAGTTATAACAACCAAAGAGCTAATAGAACAAGCATCAGGGAAGAAAACACTAGATTTGTTTTTAAAAAAAGAAGCCTTTAAACTATGTATGATTCTTAAAAAAACTAAATACAATAGAAAATTGTCTAAGAAATTCCTAAAAATATTAAGAAAACTCCTCTCTAATGTAGTAATAATCTGCTCAAAATTAATTCAAATCCGCTAACTTTACACAAACTTACTGCGGTTATTTTGTTCACTTTTTACAGTTTATCAGTTGTTCTGTTCTGTTATGGTTATGCACTGAATATAATATGAAATATCCCTAAAATATGTAATTTAGTTTGAAGTTTAGTCAATGATAGAAAAGAAGTCCCTTAATGAAAAAGCAACCACTGAACTAGAGCATAGTGATAGTGTAAAATAAAGATTACAAAGTGCTTTTTAGCCACAAAAGAATGAGAAGCTGGAAAAGGGAGGCTAAAACTCTGACCTTCAAAACTAGTGTGGCTAAAGGCCTGCTGCAGGACGTCAGGTCACCCTGACCCCGCTGGGGCTTAGATAAAAGACTTCAGACTTTTTTCTCATACCGACAAATTGACTATGGAGTTACAGTGTTGACTTCCAGCTTTAATTTGAGAGAGTTTACATCCACATTGGATCAACAGTGTAGAAACTGTAGCTTTTATTGTTCAGTGTTAGGGGACAAGCTTACATAAAATGAAGTAAAGTCATCAGACTCCTGGTATCTTGCCTGTGATGTTCTGTCAGGTCTGGAGCACAGCCAGCTTCACTCCCTGCTTGTTTTAAGGTTGATTTACTAGAGTTTCTACACCTGGTAATAATGCAGTTGCTCTCAGCATTACTGCAACAGAAGGTGATAAGGATGAAGAAACCATTCTTCAGGTGTCTGTGAGATTTTTTATTGTCCTACACGTTAAACCCCCAAAGCTGATGTTTCATTTCAAATCCAGTGCAATAAAGTACAGAGACAAGACCATAAAAATATAGCAAAAAATGATTAATTCTATCTTTATTTATTATATTAAGTCTGAAGAGTTTACATAATTTTATAAAATGGTTGGCTTTTAAATTAAATTCAATTAAAATATGTGAGTTGTGTGTATGTATGTGCACGATAATGAGGCGGATGTACAGATCATTAGTTTTGTCCATCATGTGAGCAGATGAGATGACATTTTATTAAACTCTCTTACAGCTCCAGACCTCTGCTCAGAATATAACGGTGGCTGTCACCAGAACGCAGACTGTAACCAGACGGGACTCCTCGTCAACTGCACCTGTCGCAGTGGTTACCAAGGTGACGGCTACTCCTGCGAGCCCATCAACAGGTGGGCGTGGACCGTCGTTTTCTCTTAATTAAATGTCTGCCTCTCTTCGGTTGCTTTCTTTTTCTTCACCAGAGGAGAGTTTACATTAATGTTAGACGTTCACAGTCAAGAGATGTGACATCTTTCTCTGTTTGTAAACCAGGTGTGTTGAAGAGGAGAATGGAGGCTGCAGCGACTTTGCCACCTGCAAGTTCACTGGTCCAGTGAGTAAAAAACGTTTTTCTTTAAAGTGTTGGTTTTGTTTGTCACCGTTTTCACCGGTATTATCAAGATTGTGAATTAAGAAAATGTGTGTTTTGTTTGACAAGATCCAGCCCAGTGAGAATGTGGCGGGCAGCAGCAGTGCAGCAAACTCAGCAAATAAAGCTGATTGATAAGCTGTATTAATCTTACTGCTATCAACCTGCGACATGTTGAACTACTGAATGAGCCTAATTATTACTTTATTATGGCTAATTAACAAACCTTGTTCTCCAGATGTAAGAAAACATATTTATTTTGGTACAGACATTTATTTTTTTTCAGTAAAAATAAAGATTGTGATACAAAAGTTATCAACATTCACAATTAACGCAAATTCAACCAATCCCCATGACGTCTGTGCAATCTTGCAAAAACCGCAAACTTTCCACAAATTTGACCAATCACTGTAGTTTCCCCTGTAGTTAAACCATACGTCACCAAAGTACTAGCAGTTGTCTTTGAATTTTAATGAATTATACAAAAAAATCTCATGTTCTCCTGCAGTGTCATTGCAAAAAAAGCCTAAAAACATGCAACACAGCAGGCACATAAAAGATGCCATGGATTCAGGCATTTTTAATCATCATTTTAATCCCAAGAAAAGCTCACAAAATCGTGGAGGGACTGAAAATGTAAAATATTCGCAATATGATATTTTTTTTTGCCCTACTGGTTCGACAGAGGGGGAAAAACATCGCTGACAAACTGCACGTAAACACATTTCCTGCTTCAAACTGATCATTCATCGATCTGGTTCCTCCAGAACGAGCGAGAATGCGAGTGCCTGCCGGGGTACTTGGGTAATGGAGTCCAGTGTCTGGAGAAGGTGGTGCCCCCTGTTGACCGCTGCCTGGAAAACAACGGAGGCTGTGACCCCGTGGCCACCTGCAAGGACCTGCATTACCATGGTAACACACCTGTATATAATACCCATCTTGTGTCGCCATGGTAACACTAGATCATTGTTGTCATCTGAAACGGACCAGTAGCTGCAGTAGTAATTGATGAGCAGCAGCCATGTTGGCTCCACAGTCCTACTCCATTGCAGTTGCCATGGTAACTGTTAATTTTACCGCAGCTGACCTTTACAGCGTTCATATTACCATGGTGATGGTTATGGAGGACATTGTATAGTGATTTTTTTCACTAGAGTTTGTCAAGCTTGTTAAGGTCATGAAGCTCGTTAGCGCTCATTAAACATGGAGCTCGTTAAGGCTGAGAGCTCGTTAATACCCAGAGAACGTTCCTCCCTGATGCTCGTTAATTAGGGTGTGTTGGTTACACTCAGTTCATGACTTAATACACACTGCAGTTCTGTGGTCAAAGTTCATTATCGTTTTAATGAGGGAAACAAACACCTGGCAGCCAATTAGAGACCAGGATTTTATTAAACTGTGGTATTAACTGTTTTAATCAGTTTTTATATGAGCAGATCTTTCAGCCTCAGATCAGCGTGTTAAATTGTTACCTGTAGAGACTGAACTGTTGTGCCGAGCGATAAAGGACGGCAGTAATCTGAGGTAAAGCTAACGTGGTTATTGTGGTTCAGCCAACACAGCTGGAGTGTTCCACCTGCGCTCTCCGGAGGGGAAGTACAAGATGAACTTCAGCCAGGCCAACGCTGCCTGCCAGGCCGAGGGCGCCACGCTGGCCAGCTTTAAACAGCTGGGAGATGCACAGCAGGTAAACCCACCTACAGAAAGGGTTACCATAGACACCAGTTAATACACCTCGCTCACATATACACATACTGTATTCATACACAGCTGAGTGAGTACAAAACTACAGTGCTCAGCTTTACTGAACCCAAGCATGTTGCATCAATCTTATTCACGCTCACAAAATGTAGTTCCCCAAATTTTGAACAATGAGAGAGCCAGATTTAACACCAGATTGAAAACAGTACCTACAGTAAAGGTTTTGATTCACAGTTCTGTATCAGATTTTACCCCGTCGATAGAAACACCGGCTGGATGTATCGAAAATACCTTATTCCAGCACCACAGACAATAACAGCCCGATACAACAGCTTCCTTTCACCCTTTCCTACATTTGGCTTTTTTAATCTTTTCTACTTTAGCACTGTATTTGTTCTGTAAATATAACAGTGTAGGTAGTTTAGTTTCTATATAGTTGTATATATTTTATTCCATTTTCTTTACTCTGTTGCTCTGCCAATATGAATCTCCCTGTTTACATTCTTTCATTTATTTTTGTGATACAAGAGATGCTGAATGGAATATTCCCTGCAGTCTTTCATTTACTGTGATAGAGAGCGGCGATCACTGGTGAGCTGAAGGTTTGCAGTGAACATATCTGCATTTTCTGAATATTAGAAGATAACAGAGCTTTCTTTCAACTTGTTAAATGCTGTCTTCACTATCAACAATCTCCACCAGCATCAGAACCATGTAGCCAACCACAGTTTCCTGTGTCTGTGTCTCTGTAGCTGACGTGCACCTACACATCAGCACTGCAGCGTAACCTCAGAACCAATACGGCGTAATGCACATTTATAAATCAACCTTTACTTTTAGTAGACTTTTAGATGTTAAATAAACAAACAGGACTGAAAACAATTATATTGATGCACAGTATCTATGGCCTTTCAGTGTGACATCTCATTGTCTGTCTGGCAGAGGAGAGAAGCGGAGAATCAGCCTCTGCCTGCGGCCTTGGAACCACATTATAACAACCTCCTCCAGTTAAATGTGGCAGTGATTATCCTCTTTCACCTGTCCTGATGGCAGCAGTGCATGCTGGTACTTGTAATCAACCATTTATTCACCATTTATTGTCGTTCTTCTCTGGTCCCGACAGCTGGGGATGCATCTGTGCGTGGCTGGCTGGATGGAGGAGGGGAAGGTGGGATACCCAACCCGCTTCCCCTCAGTCAGGTGCGGAGACAACCACGTGGGCCTTGTTATCTACAAAGAACCTGTGGACCAAAGCAGCAAGTACGACGCCTACTGCTACAGGTTCAAAGGTACTACTCTGGCAGAGCAGTCTCTGTGTTCAGACAGAAGCAGGTCTGTGGAAATCCCTGTGGTTTTTTATCAGTAAGAGATTTTAGTTCCTGAACAGCGTGTGTGTTTTTAATTTGTTGTTCTTTAGTCTGTTGCATGCACACAGAGCTCTCTGGGTTTATTGGCTTTAGAATTCAATTATTGTCATTAATAAGTGACTGTCACTTATTAATGACTAATTCAACTAATGAACGAGGAACCGAAAATAGTGAAACACGCATATCTAGTTCCCAGAGCTCTGGACGACATCTTGAATTTAAGATTAAATCTTGATATTCAGATTAAAATTATATTCAGTTCGGTTTATTGATAATATTGTAATTGTAACAGAATCTTTGCACTCATTTAAACATTTAAATTTAAAAACCACCTTCTTTCAAAGGTATATAAATAAACCAAGCATTTTAAGGATATAAAATTAAAGTAAAACCAGAAAAGACTTTTAAATACAACTATGTTTTTACAAGTAAGAGTTCACTGACTCAGCTGACTAGATTTCCTTGGGTGGATTATTCCAGAGCTGGACCTCTGGAACAGACAAAAAAAACTGGAGGATCTCATAATATGGCACTAAAAGAGATATAGCATGGAAGAGGCTGCGAAGAAGCCTCAAAGTAATCAGTAAAATCTTTAAATCAATTCTAAAACATAAGGGGAGCCAGTGTAAAGAGGCCAAAACAGGAGTGATGTCATCGTGTTTCTTGGTTCTGGTTAAAAGCCCGGCAGCTGCTATCGATCAATAGGTTTTTGGTTCAGACAGGTAAGAAAGGCTGTTCCGATAATCCAGGCGTGATGAGATGAAGGTGTGTAAAATGGTCTCTGTGTCTGTTAAAATATAGAAAGATCGTATTTTTGAAATATTTCTAAGATTATATAACAGTGTTATTCCTCAGGAATGCAGTCTAGCCTGCATCTGGCAGACTTATCTCAGGTCAAATCAGAACGAGAGGGGACGAGAGAGGGAGTGTGTTTGTGTGTG